AATTTACTGCTGTGAACAGCTATAAACACTGTGTTAATGGTAGCATTGCCTGAGAATGGTCACCTGAGAGGGCAGGGTGTGCAGTTTGAGGCCAGAGACAATATTTCCTGTTCTCTGCACAAGGCAGGGCTCACACTATCATCTGATACAGGGTAAAGGTACTTTAATAATTATTTTTAAAGGCAAACAATCAACTACACAGAGCAACAGCTCTTTTTCAACACATTTTCTAATCTCAGTTTCCTCTCAGATGCACGGTTATTGTCCACCTGGAAAGGACCCAAAATTATAGCCAGAAATCTGCCACCACCACCCCCTCGGCTGTTCCTGCCATCATATTTAATTGTGTTTGCTCAACTCGAAGCCAAACTCATATGCAGTATATTTAGATGGTTAAAATAGCATAGCATGCCACTGCATTCACAGATTATTTTCAACACCACAATTCTTGGGAATTAGTTTGAATAAATAAGGTAAAGAGAAAAGAAGCAACATAAATTTGTTCCAGTGACAAGGCAAACAATATCAAATGGCAATCTGGAGATCCGCCATGAACGAAGGAATGAAGTGTGCCTTTGGTGCACTCTCCTGAAAATGCAATCATCATCCCATTCACTAGTCTGGATTTATTTTAAAGTGAGAGAGAACTAAAGCAGGAATGGAACAGTAAGAGGTGGTGAGAAGCACCTTTATTACTTCAGAAGATCAATGTACAATCACTATACTTACTCTTATATAGCATTAAAGATAACAGTGTAGCACACACACACATGCACACACGCACACACATATGCACACACACATATGTTGATTTTTCTGAACCTCCAAGGAGTCTTTATTTTCTTTAATGGTTAACTTTCTAAGGTGGAACACATATATCATTAGTAGATATTCACTCTTTTATAAAACCTCAGCCATTTATGTTTCTTCAAAAGCCTCAGAAAATCACTCATAATTAATTTACAAAGGCTGAATTAGATACTGTTTGCAGCTAACTCCGTCTTAAAATTCTCACCTTCCATTTTTAGTATCATTTAACAGATACAAACCCTTTCACTCAAATGTCAAAAGATTTATGAATCAGAGAATGAAGAACAGGCTTTGTTGCTGACAGGGTTATGGCTTGAAGTAGGCCAATTAATTAAGAATAAAGACCAGCTTCTTGTTCTTTTAATCTGAGCCAAATTTCACACACACACACAAAATAATAGACCAGGCATTTTTAAACATCAAGAGTTCAAATACCTGACTGCCATTAAAAATCTGAAAACAGAGGATAAATATGAATTTTATATATTTTTATATTTATTTAACATGTATGAGTATTATGCCTGCATGTAGGTGAGTGTACCTATGTCACGTAGTGCCTGAAGAGGCCAGAAGAGGGTGTTGCATCTCCTGGAACTGGAGTTACAGCCAGTTGTTAGCTGCCATGAGGATGCTGGGATTCGAACCCAGGTCCTCTGCAAGAGCAGCCAATGCTCTTAACCAGTGAGCCATTTCTCCAGCCCTGATAGTTTTTGTTTTTAACTTGGTATTCACCAGAGAATACTTCTTTTACCTACATTCCCATTAATACAAACATCACATTTACAGATAGCCCCAGTGGGCCTGGAACTCACTATGTTGACCAAGCTGACCTCAACCTCTGCCTCTGCCTCCCGAGATTAAAGGTGTACTTCACCACACCTGGGTCTTCTCTGCATTCTTGCTCCTCATTTATTGAGTAATTAATTCAATTAATATTGCCAAGAGCCCAGTACATGCTGAGACTGTTTTAGGCATTGATGTTACAGTTGAAATAAGTCAGGTTTGGTACTAATCATAGAATTTGTATTTCACTGTAGGGGATGATTTTAACAATATAAATAAAGATTGAGATTTCATATCATGATGATTAGTTAAGAAAATCCCACAGAGAACAGAGTGTAGGGAGACTGGAAGGGCCCTTTTAGATGGGTGATAAGAAAAGATCAATTCCAGAAGATTCTATTTGCCCCAGATGGAGATGGTGTGGGCCATGTGAGCTGCTGAGGAAACTATAAATACCAAGCCCCTAGTGTGGGAAATAATTTAGAGAATGAAGGGACCTGAAGAAGGCGACCTACAGAGTAGCATGAATTAGAGGGAAGCACTTTGAGATAGGCTACAGAGCAGAGGGCATCCTTCCAAGAACAGGTGGCTGCTTTAAGATTTATTCTGCCTCTGGAGCAACATTGAGCCTTTTATGAAATAAAAAGTCCAGTATGGCTCCAGATACTGATATTGCTGGTGCCAAGATTTCTCTGTAACATACATGTATATGTATCTTACCTGTCCATCAAGTATTTAGCCATTGAATCTTTAGCTCATGAATGGCTCTCTCAGCCTCTTGATCCTTGCTGAATTTTTTCCTGTTTGTCTTTCATACCTGTGTGCCTGCTGCCCTGGCCTCTGCCCTGATACCTGTCTTATCTAGCCTGTACTTATTTATTTAGGCTGTGAATTTCCACAAACTTAGTGGTCTGGAGGGTTTCCTAAATTTTTTTTCTCAGTACTCAATTGATTCCAAGGCCTCATTCATGGTAAGCAGGCACTACACCAACAGAACTACGTGCCCAGTCCTAAAGCTAATCATTCATAGACTGCAATTTTCTTACCTGACAGACCTAATACTGTGGCTACCTTCCTACAAATGTAGTCTGACTTGGTAATATTTTAATATATTCTTGACGTATCCATCTACATGAAGAAGCTATATGTTTGTTTCATACATATGTAAATCTAAAGTCAAAGGTTAAGTTCCTGAGAACCTGGGAATCCTATTTTTTCAGCATTTTTTGTTCTAGGGATGAGGGGGTTCCAGTTACAAAGGCATTTAAGAACAGAAAAAGGTTCCCTTTTCCTGAACATTTTTCTATATTCTTGTATATTTGAGTTCAGTATTCTGCATAATATTGTATTGTCAGACAACATTCTCATGCACATAAGTCACAATGTAGAGCTAGATGAGGGCAAAGTTATTACAAGAAAAGGTGTGAAAGTGGAAGAAGTCACTTGTTTATTTGGAGAGTTTGGGAAAAAGAATGGGGCCTGTAGAGCTGAGCTGCTCTGGATTTTGCCTTTGGTATTGCCTAACACCAAGACTACATTTGCAGGTAAGAAGCATCATCTTGTAGATGTTGGAGGACATGTACAATCCTCATTCTAAAAGCTCAATGTTCTGCAGGCACATTTTCAAATATGTATCTTTCAGATAACCATGCTATCAAAATACTCAAAGTGCTATTTTTTAGAAATCAACATTTTCAGATAGGTCCACAAAAAGAGTGTTTTAGAGGAAAATAACTGAAACCAGTTTCTTACTGGTTCATTATCAATTTAAACTTAGAAATAACATTCTTATAATAAATGAGAAAGTGATAGAAGGTATTAAGCACTCTCAGGTGTCTTTCATCCTTCTAAGGTAGATCAGTTAGGCTCATTGTTGATGTGGCATGTTGTAGTTTTCAGGAGAATACTTTTCATACCATTCTTTAAAAAAAAAATCCAAGGTTTTTATTCAGATGAGATTCTAGCTGCTTCTATTAAAAATTCATGAGTCTTTTCCAAGAGCACTGTACTGATCTGTTATTTCCGAGTAAAATTGAGGAGTTCTTTCCTCTCACTCACTCCTGCACATATTTCAGGGAAATAGGCTTTAGTAGGCAATGACCTAATTGAGATATATCTGAAGTTAATAAACAAAAATAATGTGGAGCTCCTGATAAAACAGAAACTCCCTTAGAACTGGATATTATATAATGCAAATACAGTAAGTTTTAAAGGGTTTGCGGTCCCTAGAGTATCATTTGGTTGATTAGAAACAGGAATTTGCAACTAAAGAAAACTTAGGAAAATATAATCGTTGATCTGTATAAACTCAAAGCTTTCCAAAGAGCAGAAAAAAATGCTCAAGTGTGTTTCCAGACAGACATTTAATATATGTACACATCCTATAATTAGGTTCAACAGGGGACCTGGCCTCCCTTCCATCAACCCCACCTCTCACATTTCCAAATAATTTTGACAGAGGACCAGAGGACCTCCACCACCCACCATAAATGGAGTGCAGGCTGCTTGCTGGTGCTGTCCTTCACAAGGAAGTTACTCATTTGCTCAACTTGGTCCATAGTAGGTGAACAATCTTAATTTGGGGATGAAATACTAGGAATACTATTACAACCACACATTTAACCTACAGTTTTATTGCCAATAAGACAACAAAGGTGTGGGGTTTGTTTTTTCAAAAGCTTCCATTTGGGAAAAAAATTCAATTTCTCTTTCTCTTAGGCTATTCTTTTGCATTTACTCAGATTTCTCAAGGATGATTTGGCAGTTCTATTATGTCCTTGTCATTATACTCTTTCAATAAAAATGATCATATATTTGTAAAAAGATACATGAATACACCACAAAGAATGAAAAGAAAATATTTCCCATACTTAAGTATAAGCCAACAGATGACACGTCAATGATAAAAGGAGTCATGTGTGTTTGTGTTTGTGCACTGAGGGGACAATGCAACAGTGCCAAAAGAGCTGGCTGAAAAGTTAAAAATTTAATCATGATGGTTTACTTATATGTTTCCCCTGATTAGGTGAGTTGATTTGGTCTGGCATTTTGCATGCATTCATTAATTTTTTTGTAAACAAACGAATAGTTTGATAATGACATTCAGTTCAGTAACTTTTCATGCACACAATAGTGAACTATTCAACATACAAAGTTGATAATATTTGAATTGAGACAAAAATTAACTATCTTTGCAAATTTTCATTATGGAAAACAGAACTTGGAAAGTACACTCATAATTTTAGCCATAATTTTAAGACAAGAAACTTGAGAAACAGAAAATTAGGGCTTAACTTGTCGATAAAATGTTTTCACTTGCCCCCAAACTACACACACACACACACACACACACACACACACACACACACACACATTCCCTTCCATCTCCCTCTCCTCAAGCTGATTACCTGTTATTGAGCAGTACCCTGAAGGTCATCTTGTCCAGTCCCAGATAATTTGGCAGCAAGTTTGACCAATTCCAGTTCCATTTTGCAGTGGCTGACTGTTGATAAATGAGAAGACACTATTGTTAGTTATTAATCAGAGTTAATACGATCAGTAAATTAAAGCTCCAGCTGTGATAGACTAACTAAGAAGGAGGGGGGGGTCCAGAACAAGGCCTTCGACAGATAACATCAATCATGTCCACAGAAGAAGGTTTTTATTCCAATAAGACGGCAATTAATTTATAAATCCATTTGGGGATGTAGTCATTATTTATAAAAATATAAATCAATTTCTTGAGTCGTTATTTTTCCAAGTGTAAATGGAATTTGGCCAACAAGTTTCTTTGGGAGGGTGACTCTTGGAAAAGCAAGGCAAAATAATTGATAAGTTTTTCATTTATCATATCACTTCATGGGTTCTTCTTTAGTGCCTAAAATGCTGATTAAAATAAGGAAAATTTGAAGTGCCCAGCCTCAAATTGTAAGACATGATTTAATTAGAATGCGACACTAATGTTTTATTTTGGGATTATTTTTGGTTAATATGCTTTAAAGAGGAAGATATAAGGACTTCCAAGTGTAAATAACATACAGGATTCTTTTTTCTCATTAATTGATAATTTCACAGCAGAGTAAGGCAAAAAATTACTGTGAAAAATAATCCCATAATTCAGAACTTGGTAAAACATGCTATTTAGTTAAATGTAGTAAGGGTAATTTAATAGCTATAATAATTATTTATGGTTTACAGCAACCTAATGTATAATATAAGAAAGCAGTCAACAAACTATCTTATATATTAATTTTAAAATGCTATAATGTATGCTCCTAAAACTAAAGAGTTTGGATAATAAGCATCTAGGATGATCTTTAAGATCCAACCAGAGCAATCCCTTGTCACTTGCTGATTAATCGAGCACTACAACCCTGTCATAGAGCAGGAGAATTCGCCCCAGGTTGTCAGCATTTGAAGGTCTTATTCTTCTCCAGTATTGATGAATGTACATGAAGGCTGTAACAGGCATGGTAAAAATATTATCTGCATGCCAGATTAGGCCATTGTTTTAATTCTTATTTTCATCAGAGCTCTAGGTCAAGCAATCCTTCTCTTCTGCCCTGCTAGTTCAAATTGTCTGTCAACAGGGTTTGGCATGGGGGGGTGGGGGAGACCAAACAAAGCAAAAGCAACTTTCAATATCAAGTGTTTGAGTGGGAAGATAACCTTTCTAATGAAACTACTGAAATATGCAGCTTAAACAATGGCAACATCTGACTTTTAAAAATATATGGTGTTTATCATATTGGCTTTATTCTAAATATCTTTGCTTTAAGGTCATTAGCAAATCCATTTTAAATTTGAGGATGTGTCTAAGGTTATTAAAAAAAAACAAATTTATCTCATGCCATTTATAATGGAAGCTCAATGCTCTATTTCTAATTCATTAAAAACTGTTTTCTAATTTACCTGATACAATCACTGAAGTAGCAAGATGCGTTCTAAGTGTGTGTCCTGGAGAAGGGGAAGCATTCATCAAGGAGGGAAAGAATGATGTAAAGGCCTGGTTCTTTGGGTCTGCTATAGATACAGCCTAACAGATGTTACCTCTGCCCATGGCAAAATGATCCAGACAAAAGTTAAATTTTAAAGAGCAAACATATGAATCAGTTTGCCATATAGAAATAAGTAAAATAACTTAAAAAGCAATTTATACAGGCCACATAAATAACAATGTGAAGTTTGCTTCCTGTTCTCCAAAAGATGGTGTATAAATAAATACTCAAACACAGAGTGTTTGTTCTTACTTTTTATGTAGAGAAACCATACATTTAAATTAAATTTACCATTTCATTTCCATATACCTGATCTAGCATGTTTTCATGAAACACCTTATACACACGGAAAGGGTTAAACACAGAAGGCTGGTCTTCTACAGTCCTCAAGGTTATCTTTAGAGGTCGGGTGGGTAATGGCTTTTTCTGTGAACCATTCATAGAAAGCAGCTGTTCTTTTAAATATTCCTTCAAGGAAAAAAAAATTACAAGGCAGGATGGTGAGAAGCATGCATTCTCTTAAAAATAAACTGATCAATATTCGAATTTACCCTTTCAGCACATTTTCTAGATTATAGTGTATTATTTGCCTCAGAAAGAATACATTCAGAAGATACATAAGAGTATCAAGCAGTATTGCAATAAGCCTATCAAAAATAAGTTTAACCTAATGCATAGTATATATTTAAAAACATTTAACTAATACTCATATGATGAATGAACCCTTGGTATGTCATAATATTCTGAGCAGGCATTGTCTCATCATTGACTTCATGTGTTACCAGGTCTGGCTACCAAAATATAACTCCAGTGCATGACTGTGCAGTGTAAAAGATTATTCATTCACTCATTAAATATGGTTGTTTCCATTCTGGGCTCAGCTGAGCAGTAAGTATTCTAATATTTTATTGCAAGGAGTCTCATTCAGTGCAAGATTATTTATAATGCAAGATCCTATATACTTAATATCCATGCTGTAGAGTGAAAAACTGTAAAGGCTTAACAGACTCTCAAAATAGGTAATTCTAATCATCCAAGTGCCAGTATGGTCCTGGGCAGAAATGGATAATCTTCTGCATTATATCTCATTTTCTACCCATAAATAAGGTGAACAATCTTAATGTATTATATGGGACTATTTTTTGGAAGGCAACAAATTAAAATGACTAATAGAATACCATCAACTAACAAGTAAGTAAAAATAAAGGTTTGCCTGGTTTTTTCAATGGACTAGAATACATTTTTCCCCACCAAGTGCGCATTTCAGACAAATTTCAGAATGTTAGGGCAGAAAATGACACACAAGGTATTCTAAAAAACCCCATTACCTAGTCCCATGCACAGACCGGAAGCAGCAGCCCTCCCTGGGAACTTGTTAGTAAAGCAGAATCTTAGCTAATACTAGCAGGAATTCCCAGAACACTCAATGGTTGGCTCTGACACTCATGGGGTGAGGGTAAAGTAGGGGCCAGAAGCTACATATCTAGTCTCGAGTTGATATGTTTTTGTGTGCGTATGTGTATGTCCCTATAACTTCAAGAATGTTCAGTGTCCACTGATCCTAAAATCTCCCCAAATGTAAATAAATAATAGAGATTCTTACACTTTTTCAGTGCAAAACATCTCTTTAGATAAATCAGTTGTGTTATGATATATACATGCTTTTTAGTATTATTATTATTTTATGTGTATGAGTGTATTGCCTGCATGCATGTAAGTGCACCCGTGTTGTGGAATGCCCACGGAAGTCAGAAGAGAGCATTGAATGCCCTGGAACTGGAGTTATGGATGATTGCTAGCTGCCATGTGGGTGCTGGGCATCAAACCCAAGTCCTCTGCAAAGAGCAGCAAGTGTTCTTAACCTCTGAGCTATACAAACACAGAATCTTACTATGTATTATTAGGTAATGACAAAGCCACAGGAAAATAATTTTATGACTATACTATAAAACAGAAACAAAATTTTCCTCCATCGTGACTTCTTAAAAATTTAACGAAATAAAATTTTTATTGGAAAAAATTATTTCTTTGACTACTGATAAATTTTCTTAATTGATCTTCCCTTGTATAACTATATTTTGAACTTTCTTTTTTTGCTATTTAAAAAAATAAAGTGCTCTGTTTCAAGTTCTGAAGAACATCTTCTCCCTGTCAGTCTCTCTGTTATATTGATAGTTGTCAGTACTCCTTAAAAAACAATTTCTTGGACCAGCTAGATGGCTCTGTAGGTAAGGTGTTTGCTGCACAACCCTGGTGATCTGAGTTTAATCACTGGAACTCACATATAGGTGGAAGGAGAGAAAAGATTCCAGAGTTGTCCTTTGACCTTCATATGCACACACATCATGTACACAGGCACACATGAAATAATAAATGGAAACAACAACAACAGTTTCTTGGGGCTGGAGAAATGGCTCAGTGGGTAAGAATGCTTGCGGTGCAAGCGTGAGGACATGACTTCTGATCCCAGCACCTACATAATGGCCACACACACCTATAACCACAGTGCTGTTGGTGGTGGTATGCAGACAGGAGAATTGCTGGGACTGGCTAGTTGCCAGCCTGGCTCCAGGTTTAGTGAGACAGGTCTTGTCTCAAGAATAAGGTGGACAGTGATACAGTAGGACACTTGATATTCTCCTCTGGCCTATGCATGCACACACAAATGTGTATTTACACACAGACATAGAACACACACACACAGAGTTTCTTGGGGGGGATGAGGAAGGAAAAATTGTGAGTTTGAGGCTATCCTGCGCTACATAGTTAAGACTTTGTCTCAGCAAAATAAAACTAAACAATAAAGTTGTTTTACTTTGATATGGCTTTAATCAAGGATATTTCTTGAGAAATTTCCATTGTTTCTTGAACACTTTTTCTGTGTAGTTCTATCAAAGTTTATTTCTCTACTGATCATTTTTTCCCTCCCTGTTTTGCTCCACTGACATGTACCACCTGACTGATGACCATCAAACCAATAGTTCCAGCCTTTCTCTTTGGTGCTCAGGGATGAGGCTATAAATAAGATTATATTTTTATTAAATATGATAAACTTCTTCCCTTCATCTTAAAGACAAACCTTTAAACTTATTTTCCTATATAACTTCTCTATCAGCCTATATCCATCCAGAAATGGTTCTGAACCTCCCCACACACATTAAAAAAAACTATTTTAAAACACTTTTAATAGGTATGAGTGTTTCGCTTGCATGTATGTATGTGTACTACATGTGTGCCTGGTGTTTGCAGGGTCCAGAAGAGGGTGCTGGATTCCCTAGAACTGGAGATACAGACAGTTGTGAGCTACTACCATGTGGGTGCTAGGAATCAAACCCAGTCCTCTGCAGGGGCAGCAAGTGCTATCTGATGAACCCTCTCTTTAGTCCCACCATCTGACATTTTTGAGTAGTATTTAGCAGTACGTAACATTACTTATATAGTGAGTAAGCAAATATCACAGTACAGTTTTGCTTACAGCACACTGATACCTCATGTTTAAAGCAATCATATGTACCATTAATTTGGTAAACCTCATGTTACTTAAATTTATTTGCTGTGCTTTTATGATCATCACAAAGCAAAAGTCTTTTACTTACCTTCAGCCTCACCTAACATTATGCCTCTTATCTTGTTGTGTATGTTTCCTCATTCAACAGAATAGATATCTAAATACTCAGCTCAACATGCCATATGATAAGACATTTCCTTAATAGTAAATATATTCAAAAATAAAAGAAACATTGTAACTCAGCACAACTGATCAAAGTTTGTGAAGATCTCATAGCCTACCTGTTTTGAACACTGTCTCAGGTGTCCATACTGGAAGAATCTGTCAGATGACAGACAAGCAGTAAATAGTCATCTCAATTTTGATGACTTTGTTTAGTGGTAATTGTTGATCTTTCTGTTGGTTTGGTAGTCTAGCCTAGCCATTTCTACCTTGAGCTATTCTGATACCCCACAAATAAGGCTCTGGGTATAATCATACTGCAAAACCTGCTTCTCAGTAGTCACCACAATTGCTTTAGCCAGTCTGGATGGCCAAGTGGCTAGGCCACTGAGAAATGTGATTTGAAAAGGGAGGGCTTTCAGTTAAGCAAAGCCTGGAGCTCCTGAGTTCCCCAAATAGAAACCCTAGGCAGGCTATGGAGGTCATTAAGAGAATGAATAGGGTGTACTACTTTGCAGCAATAATATTGAGTTCTGATACATCAGAGCAGGGACTTCAGATAAAGATTTTTTCCATTGGTCATCATGTCAGCTATTTATTGCCTGACTGATTAGGCTTTGAAATCCAGTAAACAAGAATGACTTGAAGGAATCTCAGACAGATACTGATTGGGAGAACTTCTACATAATTAAGTTGTGCAATATCAAAGAATTTAATTCACTCCTTAGAAATGCATGCTTTTAAAATTAATGGATTAATTATTTTTTGTAGGGGAAGAGGACACATGGGTGCCATGGTGTGCATGGGTAGGTCAGAGGACAACTTGCAGGAGTTGGTTCTGGCCTTCATGTTCCAAGGAGCCAGCTCAGGTTGTCAGGCTTGGTGACAGGCACCTTTAACCACTGGGCCATCCCGCTGGTCCCATGAAAATGTATGGTTTATATGGTCCACATCCTTGACATAAAATACTATATGTACATTCACATTATTCATATTATAAAATTTTTACCACCTTGGCCAGGTGTGGTGGTGCACGCCTTTAATCCCAGCACTTGGGAGGCAGAGGCAGGCAGATCTCTGTGAGTTCATGGCCAGGCTGGTCTACATAGCGAGTTCCAGGCCAGTTGGGGCTACCAGGAAACCCTGTCTCAAAAAGACCAAAAAAAGAAAATTTTTACCACCTTAAAAAAATACATTCGTGTGTTTGTGAACATAAACGTAACTGTAGACACATCATTTTAATTCAGACACAAATCGGCACCAGCTTGATTTCTCCGAGTTCAATGACTCAAGTATGTGGTGAGTTAATAAACTCACACAACTTTTAGTGGCTACTTGGGATGATCACTGTTTACATTTTCTCTAGAACCACCTAAAGCATGCAAGGACAGAAGCTTAACTCTGCAAAGACCCGGACAGGCAGAACACCCATTGTAATCACTGTCTGTACACTAATGAACCTTCTTGGGTTAATCTGGGTACTCCCATATATGGTTTAACATTAGGAGTTTTTTGTTTTTTTTTTAATTATGTAGGAAATCTACAATTTCACCAACTTATGACACTTTCAGGAAAATAGCTACATATCTTTCATAAAGTCCTTTGTTTTAACAAATACCAGAATCAGCATCAGCTTAGTGGACTACAAACACACAATTCCCAAAATATACCTCTCCTCTCTACAATTCAGAACTGATCTGAGTTTATGAGCCATGTTATTGTTTAAATCATATAAATAAAACCGACATTGTTTCACGAAGCTTTCTTTCTGTACAAATGCAGAACAGCCAGGGCTGAATAGATTCTATTAATAATGCAATATTGAGTTTGGTATTGACTTTAGGAAGTATTATCACCTCCTTGACTAACCCTTAGCTGCCAGCAGACGCTGCCTCAGGCCAGTACACACCTAATTGCTCGGTAAAAAGGCCGTTTCCCTACCTCATTGAGCTGCATGATGTGATAAATTTGCCTCAGGTACTTGCTGCCACCTGGTTTGTGGCAGAGATCCAGGACCATCCTGTTTATTTTCTGCTCAGTCAGTTCAAGAGTGGCATCTCCTTCTAAGGCTGTGCTTTCCTCCATTGTCATAAATGCACTAAGCACAAAGCAAAAATATACGTATCAGTAGTGAAGAAATGTAAAGATGGGAAATAATCAGAGAGATTGACTGTGGAGAGTAAAGCAAATCTCATATTCAAAGTACCCATAAAGACTCCATTCAAATAGGAAAGCCTTCCCAAACCAGCACTGCTCAGATAAGGAGTACTTGGGAATGAAGTACCCGAAAACATTTTCTGAAATTGAATAGTTTCTTTTAAAAGCGTTCTTTATTGCATTTATACTCCTATCTATAAAACATTTTTCCTGTTACTGCAATTGTTGAAATTGCCATAATCATGGGATGGAAACAAAACATTCCTTTTTAAGAACATGTAAGAAATAATTTGTATTTTCTCTGTGAGGACAAAAAGTATCACTGATGTTGGAAATAGCTTCAGTATTCTCTTTTGTAGATTCCTCTTTACACATGTGGTAGAACATATTGAAGACTAATTAAAGTGTGACAAGAGGGAGCCCATTATGCTAAATAGAAGCTAGGTGCTTCAAGACCTGTACTTATTGTGGGGTATTATAAACTGGCCTTTGACACCTGTTGCCTTTTAAAAATATCTGCTCCCTCTCTTACTATGTCTTATAACAGATACTTAGCAAATGTCACAACTCAGAATTTCTTCCCGAAGAAAAAGGGTCTACTGTCATCCTACAAGCAGTGTGAAGATAAAGACCTGAAGATTCTGAGATTTTCAGGTTAGAACATTATTTGCATGCCAGTAACAGATGACAAAAAATACAAACACCTCCAACTATACCAGTATATAAAATATGACCGTCACCCACAGCATAAGATACTCCACAGTAATTGTCTTACTAGGATTGCTATTAGATTGTGTTAGGTTTTGTGATCTAAGAATTTGTATGGGAATATTCATAGTTTTCTACTTTTTCCCAGAGTAAATGAAATTTACTGTGGTGTAATCAGATGTATATTGCAGTTCATTACTGAGATTTTGCCATGATTATAAAATTAGTTCTGCTAAGAGTCAGTGCTGCTGACCTGAAGACTGAACCAAATGATACCCAGCTGCTGGACATTAACTTTGATATTACTTCCACATGTAGCTTCCAAACATCCTTCTTAAACACACACAAAAAGGGAAATTTAAGACGTTCCAAGCCTTGCTAAAGAAAATAGAAAATAAAGTGACTCCTACTGACTAGGAAGCAATCATTGGCTACAGCATAATGTTTTTAAAGGCACTGTTACAGTAAGAGGGATTTGCACATATCTTTCTGAATCTGCAGATAGGTTGCAAGCAAAATTTCCTGTCAGGTTTTACAGAGGCTGACATTGAAAAAGTTGAGGCCTCTGACAAAGGAGTGTCTCAGTGTCAGCCCCTGAATTGTATCCTTTCCTGTCCATCACTGTGCAGGTGAAGCAAATGATTGGATTCAGTCAATGCTATGATTAATGAGTTCCTCTCTGGATTTGGGACTGCCTATCAATCATGTCATTAGGGAGAATGTGCACTGAAAGAGGCAGACCTTAGCCAAGGAATAACTGCATTAATCTTAATCTGTGTATGCACCCAGCCAGCCAAGTCAGGGTCACCATGATGAAAAACAATAATCTTCAACTCGACAAATCACTTTGCAAAGACAGACATTTCTTTACTTTTGGGGCTGTGTGTTCTCCAGAATCTAAGTTGACTGTTTACAGCTTGAGAGTTACCACAAAGTGAAGGTTATTTTAATGAATAGTAATGCTTTCAGGCAGCATGCTAGCCAAGCAACACTTACAGCTGCCACCTCTTCAACTGCAGCTATTTCCATCATTTCCATAAAATCAAAGCTAAATCTGGATTCCAATGAGAGCGACCTCCCTAAATGATATTATGTACTCCCAAGATAATCTTCTTGAGGAACTTAGCTTAACAGAAAAATGATTTTAATTTAAATGTTTGCAGTCAGTATTTTTCTTTAAATTAAGGAATCCCTATACTAAAAAGTCAAGGCTACCGTCTACCTGATGCCTGCATCTGAGATTGCTAACACATTTTCCTCATAGTGTAACACTATGAACTAAATGATCATTAATTTATAAGTAGATAGGAACTCCCATACACATCAGATTAGAAACTTGAAATCAGTGTCAAGAGGAAATCTATAGCATCCAAGCTCAGTGAGGTTGTTATCTAAAGTAAGTTAAGTCAAATTTAACTCTTTCAGATATGTGTAATAAATAATTTTAAGTCTGCATTTCTGTATATTGGTATTATTTAAGAAACTGAGAAAGACACAATGTTACTAGTGACCTGACCTTTTAGAATCTTTGAAGGCTAGAAAGCATCTTAAAATCAGCAAGTCTTCATTTTGATGCATGTTTTAAGAAGGAGGTAGGTAATCTTTTGACTACTAGTTAATCAACTAAATATTAGTTGGAAAACGCACTTCTGTAGGAGATACTAGATGTGTTGTGGTAGTTTCAGAATTTGAAATCCCATTTTGAGGAAAAAATAAATACGAATGATTGGATAGATCCATTAGTATATTAGACACTGCTTTAAATAGCGCTTATTTGATAGAGGGGTTCAAAATCAGTAATATCATAAATTTAACTTTGTAGACATAATTTAATCTGCTATTTTTAGTCTTCTCTTTCCTTTCTCTTTTATAACTACCCTGCATTAATGACATTTGACCTTAATCTTTTAGTCACTAGGTTAAAGCCTGTAATTTGGTATTGCATGCAAATATAAAGATTAAGAAGGTCCCTGTTGATGTTACTGAGCATTTCCTGGGCTTCTAGTGTGATTCCTACATAGAAACAGGCCATAGGTAAAAAATCTAGCCATCAGTAGGACTAGACCAGGAAAATCAAGGCTGCCTACTTCTCATTTTATGGATTAATATGAAGTCCTGTAGATTAACACGGACAAGTAAATAGTGTTAGTTATCATGCTACTAACCAATGAAGGTAATGCTTTTAATAGAGTTTATAAGATGCTTAGGAGTTCTCAGCTTGATGTTGAAAACATTGTTAGTTTTCCAAAACAATTCTGTCAGCTTGGTATCTATCATCCTTGACTGAGGCTTTGAGGGGGGCATAAAACCACCCATTTCCAAGGAATGTGCATTTGCCTGAGCGCCTCATCACTGCCATCTACCAGGAAGAACAACCAGATTTTAAGTGACGTTTAGTCATCCCAGGCAGAAAGTTACACTAGTGTCTGCTAGCCAGGAGTATGCCTTTAAAACTGTGGGAACAGTGTGGTGGGTAAGTTTAAACAATGGTGGGCTGGCTTGGTGATCTATAGGCCACCTGAACCGGAATCCTTTTATCAATATCATGCAGTTTTATATCTGCCAACTAACTGTAAGAAAGGAGAACTCTATGTACATATTTTAATTCATCAGGGACCCTTAAAAATCCTTGAAGTACCACAAATCACTTAGCTCTCAGTGACAAACCTATGAGAAACCTGACATTTTCATACTGAAACAGCTGGGTGTGTTTATAGCTTGAGTGTGATATGCCCCAGTTGCCCTCTGGGATTCTTACATTACCAGATGAAAAATGTGTATCTTTTTGACAATCAGGTACACAGAAAGCAATAAAAAGGCTTTTATACCCATTAATTCCTTCTTAATTCAATCTGTGCCCAGTCCATTTACAAAATGCCTCAGGCTATCCAATAGACACCTGTTAGCACACTGAAAAGAAGTGAAACGAAATTCCCCTGGGTTGAGCAACACTTTTTTCATCAGAAACCCTAAGGTGGTGCCTGAATGAGTATAGTGTTCCTGTGTATCAATGGGGTTCAAATTTTAAGACAAGGCAAGTCCAGTGTTTAGTGGGATACTTATCTTTTCCTGCATTCACCAAAGTTCCCATGATTTTTTATTTTTTATTTTTTTGCTAAACAACCATTGTTGCCCATCTGACAAAATTCTGCATATTGGTGATTTTGGTACTTTGAAAGTATTTGGTGAAGTTCAGGGAGAGACAAAAGTGGCTTTACCATTTGGTGCTCAGTGTTCTTGCTTTCAACAGTTGGCGTTCCATCCAATTGGGTCTCTGCCGCTCGATACTCAGTATGACCTGTTGGGTCATTTGATTAGGGCTGCTTCGTTCTCTCAGGATGCTTTCCAAACACACACAAATTAAACTCAGCTTCTCTTTACTCCATCTGTCAGGGGAGGCACCTGTTAAAAGTTCCACAGTGTTTCCATCCTCAAATATACGACATATAATTACAATCAAGTTCCAGACAAGCAGGCCAGCTTTCTTCAATTCAACCAAGTTTTTTGACATTTTTCTCTCAGACAGAAAAAAGAAGTATTTAATTGTGGGAGGCAAACATGCAATCACCGTAGGTAACTTGCTGATCACAATAGATACTGCTTGAACAGCAAGCCTTGTGAAGCCTGGAAGAAAAGATAGGAAAGGTATGATTAATATTCACATTCTCATACCATCACTTCATGGTTTTATGCTGTGTGAGGATGTCTAATTTTTGTGGAGAAAATTATTAAGAAGAGCAAGCGTTTGACATATTCCAACTGAACTCTACCAGGATCTCCTACAGTACTGCCTAAAGTTCTCTAAATTCCAAACATGATTTTTCATCCTACAAATGAAGATTAGGAAATTTGGAATTATTGTTCATATTTTTATCTTTCAAAACCTTAGCTCTGAAGGACCTAGACACCACTAACAATGCAAAAGTGTCCCTACTGAACCACTTTGTGACCTCTGACACTTCTGAAACCCCTTAGATGCCTCTCCTCCCTTGCAATCTGGAACAATCATGCCACCTCTTTGCATGACTGGCTCCTCCTCTTTCCATTCCTAGAGCCTGAAGGTCACCTCCTCAGAGTGCCTTCTTTAGCCATCATGCAAAGCAGTGCCACCATGCTCTTGCCATCCCAGTGCCAGTCCCTTTTTTCATGGGATCCCCATATTGTGGCCTTTATTGTAATATTTGTCTTCATCTAATAATCATCTTCTTCACTTTTTCATTATGTCACCCTTCACTAACACATGAGCCCCAGGAGGGCAGCGTTGTATCCCCAGCACCTCATTAAGTGAGAGCTGTTCAATGAATATCTGTTGAATAAATAAGTCATTTCTCTGTTGTAAAAAGCTCTTCTGCATATGGAGGGATTTCAGCAGCATTTCTGGCTTCCACCTACTTTAGCAGCACCCCTCCCCCACCCCCCCACCCCGACCCTGCCAGGTTTGACAACCAAAAATGTCTCTATCTCCTGGTGCAAATTTGTCCCTAAATGAAACCACTCATTTAATTTTATTCTATTTTATCTTTACTGAGATATGCCCAGGATGGCCTCAAGCATGCATGTAGCCAAGGATGACATAAAACTTACATCTATCTCCTGAGGGGATTAGCACTAGCAAGATCTATGAAACCTGGAGTTTGAGATGCCGGGGATTGAAGCCAGGGCTTGGTATGTGCTAGGCAAGCACACTTAAGCTATATCCCCATCCGAAAAACCACTCTTTGAGATGATTCCAGAATCTAAGTCTTGGCCTTCGTCTAGGATTGCAATAACACAATCCCAGTTCTCTGCTGGGCATTCAATGTCTCTCTCCTTAATCATTTAATTCAATATAACCAAACTGATTGTTTTCCTTCCAAACTATCTTGGCTCTCCTCCTGGTTCCCTGCCTCCTTTCCTCTTTTCCTTTTAAATGTCCTCTTGATCCTTCATACCAAACCAGGGATCAGTATTGACAAATCTTCCTACCCCCTTGTCTCTGACATTCTGTTTCTTGCTGAGACCAACCTTGACCCAGTTCAAACTCTTTCATATAGAGGATACCTGGACAATGGCAGCACTCTCCTAACTCAAGCCCGTGCTCTAGGTTATGTCCAGCCCCTCTCCTGAATTGTAAAACCAAATTCATATATGGTGCTATGAATTTTATTATCCAATTTCTTTGCTGCAATTGTTTTAGCGGCTTTCCACTGTTATGAGATGAACATGCATATGCTTCCTGTCAAAACATTTCATGGTCTCACCTCAGCCTTTTTTGTGTGAACCTTTTCTCTGAGACCTTCAACATGCTTTACCTCTGCTCTTAAGACTGTAAATATCTTATGGCTCTGTTCATGGTTCACCTTATATTCTCCAACTCCCTAGTCTTATGCCCTCTTGTAAATTGATTTGAATATATTTATATGGATATATTATCTATATGGCCATGCTGGAAATCAGACCTGTAATGGACCTCACTATGTCATCTTATCTATTATGATTTCTATTATGTATAGCATGCTGTTGTTCACGTCATTACAAGTTGTCTTAACTACTAGACTACAAGCTTGTCAAGAGAATGGGAATAAATCTTCTCCTTCAGTATCCCACAGAGCCAAACATAGTACACTTCCCATAAATGTGAAAATAGCCATTCAGCACCTGCCACAAAAAGAGTTCACTTGATAAATGTTTCTGGTTTATTGAAATGAGTATCTTTAAGTAAACTTTAAATACAAAAAGAAAAGGCATAAACACACCTCTCTTTTTTGTATTTTTAAAAAATTGTATTCTAAATGTCTTATTCTTTATGGGTTTATGACTTATATTATCTCTTCTATTCTCAGGGATTTTACTTGAAAGATTTTATTTTATATTCTCTTATAAAGGGAGCTTTAAATGGATCCTGAGCAAACATTTGGCAATTCTACCTAGATAACATGTAAATATTACCTGGCCATCTACCTATACTTCATACAGTAGTAAGGACTCCAGGTTCTCAAATCTTCAACTATTCCCTAAAGCTGAAGGCAAATTCCAATCGGGAGCTTGAAGCTGATGAGGAATAAGCCCATTCTAAACACAAAGGCTCTGAGTCTCTGATGAGGTTAACAGTAGAAAGTAGGCTTTTAACAATGCCACGCTCACTCATTTGCTCATCCTTTTTTATTTTGCTCTCAATGTATATTTTTGTTGAACTCTTATGCATTTAATACAATCTATCTTAATCATAATTAGATCCCCTTCCCATATCTGTACTCCTTCATAGTCTCCCCAACCAAATTCATGCATTCTGTCACATATGTTAAGGCCTACTGAGTCAAGGTTTTGTACGTAGATGTCCTTGGGGTAAGTTCATCCACTGGGGTCTAGTCAGCCTATCTAGAGTCACTCCCTTAAAGAAGATTAGCTCTCCCTCTCCGGGCCTGCTGTCCATTTCCCCAGTTCTATGCTGGGTTTTTGTCTGATTGAGTTTGCATGGGTCTTGTGCATGCTGACAACATTGCTGCAAGTTCAAATGAACAAGCAGGCCTGAAAGACTCTGTTACTCTATGATCATGCACTAGCCCTAACTCTTAGAATCATTCAGCCACCTCTTTTGCAATGGTCTCTGAATACAATGGAACCTCTCCATTTATCCATATTTAAATAAGTTGACTTCTATTTAAACCATAAACATTGCATATATTATAGCCCATCCCAATTTCAAATCTGATACTGTGATAATTAAAATATGATAGTTATATTTACATGTTTATCTTTTCTTCCATACAGTCAACACTATCGCAACGCATTTATATATTAAAATATGTCAAAGGTAATCCACAGCAAATGAAGGAAATAAATAAATATTTCAAAATTAATTTCAAAAATGTATTTAACATTATCAAATATCAAAAACTTCTTGAGTGATGTGTGACTTAATATGCATTTATTTGCTTAAAATATGGGCTCACAGCACAGTACAAATATGAAGTTTTATGTTCAGTTAGTTTCACTGGCTCTGATGGGCACAACAAAAAGCACACTCTAAAATATCAGTGGAATCATGTAGAGCAACTGTAGTATTAATTGTTCTCACAAAATCATAGCATTTGTTTTTCAGTCTTAACCACCAAATAGACAAAGATGCTGTTAACATTTGGGCATTAAATACCATTACCCATGGAGTTAATTCACTGCTCTTATGAACTAACAGAAAAGCATTTCACTTTTAAGCCCAATGATGAGTAAAACATTTTATTAAGCATATTTTAAAACATATTAGAAAATTCTATATCTTAACTTCTTAGTGTGCAGATATGTTTTATAGGAAATATTGGTTTTACAAAACTGGTATTTTTAGTTTTTAAACAATAAACTACATCAATAGCTTCCTATCATACCTCGTGTCTTTCTGCCACCACTGTCCTCAACAACTGCCTGTGAACAGTGACCTGAACACATTTTCCTGTGGTGCCTTACCTGTTTCCTCTCTCTGGGATGCATTATTTAGTTGAAGCCATTGCTCCAACCAGCAATTTTTTTCATAAAGCATTCTTTTCATTCAAAAGATAATTTACTGTGGATAAAATATCATTTCAAATACATCTTTTAGTTAACTGCTGTCAAAGAAACAAAACAAAATCAAGCTTGAAACATAATGAAGCATGTACCTAAAAGCTGAGCTTTGTTTGAGAACCAACTGTGTTTTTACCCAACTGCACGGTAAATCTCCTGCCCTGGGTTATTTATGGTAGTGCTTATTTCTCTAAATCTTTAGTGTTTTCTATATTACAGCATTTGCTGATGAAGAAGAAATAGGAAATGTGTTTTAGTTTGTCACCGCTGTGTTCCATGTGTTTTGCTGCTTTCACTGTGCCAAGGACAAATGCTCCTTTTAAGATTCTACCTATTTGTCATTAAAATAAGTATGAATTCTGTTTTTTTTTCCAAAAAAACCCTTTAAACATTTGTCATTGTTTAGAAAAATTTTACAAAGAACATGATTATATATCACTTGACTTTAAAACACTGGGGATAAAAATTATAGGGGTTTGTCTTCATGTTTTAGATACTTAGTTTTGAAATCTTTTGCTAATCAAGACAACTTCAAACTAATAGCTAATATACCAATGCACAATACTCAGAAAAGATTCATATTTAATAAAAATATATGGGAGCTCATATTTCAGATGGTTTTCCCACACTTTTTCTTTACAAACTGATCATCAATTTACCTCATGATGTGGCAGAAAACGAGCTCATATCAGCCTTGGAAATAGATATGAACTTTTCTACTTTTGGAACTGTGTGCTTTGTGCAGCATTACAAATATTAAACTGCGTGTCATAAGAACATATTAAGATAAAGTGTATCTTTTTTTTTTTTTTTTTTGAAGCAGGGCCACCCTGTAGTCCCAGCTGTCCTGGAACTCACTATGTAGACCAGGCTGGCCTTGAACTCACAGAGATCCGCCTGCCTCTGCCTCCCAAGTGCTGGGACTACAGGCATGCACCACCACACCGGGTCATTTGTATCTTTTACGTGAATTCCTTTTGCCTACAGCAGGTTCTGCAACACTGCATTGCCATGTCTCTCCCCATCACCTCTCCCCCAGTACTGGGATGTTCCTGCCTCCTTGAACTCCCTCACATATCATCCCCAACACACAAATGGCTCATGTACAGAATGAGGAGTTCTAATGACAATCTCCATAGGAGTCTTCAGTAAAGTTTAATTTCTTTCTTCCCAGAATTGGGCATATACTGGGATGTGCAGCCATTAGTTATGCTAGCCTCTGCGAACCAAGAGGAGATGTTATGCTTATAGTTTATCTGTGATCTAAAGTACAATGACATATATATATATATATATATATATATAGCATTCAATCACATAGTAAATATCCATTGAATAGATTACTTAATGCCAAGCATGTAAATATCATCTATAGTCTCTTCATCCAAGGGAAATATATTTCAAGACCTCCAATGGATGCCTAAATATGTAGATAGTGCCAAACCCTACGTATGCTCTTTTTCTTATACATATATAACTTTAATGAAACAATGCATAATTACAATAGGAGATTAACAACCAATATAAAATCAAACAATCATATCAAGGTATTATAATAAAATTAGGTGAATGTGGAATATCTCTAATACAACTATAACAAATACTAATATTTGGAGACTGGAGTTGACTGAGGGCAACCAGACCACAGAAAGCAAAAAAAGATCAAGTGAGGAAGTCATGAAGTGTCAATCTTAAAGTCCCAGCATCTCAGAAGGCAGACACTAAGAACAACAGCATTCCCACTGTCATAGGAGGCACAGAATGGTCTGTAACATCCATCACTTTCATTCATATGATTTGACACATCATTGTGGCTGTTTATACACTGGACTTCTACCCCTAGCTATAATTTTATGGAAAATATTAATTAGCAAGGAAGACCCTAACAACT